GATTCCACCTATACATCCCACTATTGAAACCTTATTAGCCGGGTGATCCCTAGTTACGTCCCGGCTAATTAGCCACCTTAGCCACTATATCCGCACACCGCAGGAAACACCTCTCCTTCTGCCCTTTTTTGTATAATACTATTTCTGGAGCTTCTCGTTGCCGCCAGGCACGTTGTCCTGATCATTCCCAAGTCCCGAACATTCCACCGGCATCTCGGCTCAACGCTCGGTTCCCTCCGGTCTGATCTCACGCCCCGCGCTCCTCCCGCCCCCCGCCAATTCCCCCGCCCTTTTGTCACACGTGGGATTTGCCACCCCAGTGAAATTTTACAAACTCCGCTCCGACTCGCTACGGAGCCGACCTCTCCCGTTTCTCTCTTTCTTCCCGCCCCCCACCTTCTCTCCCTCCTCCCGCCCCCCACCTTCTCTCCCTCCTCCCGCCCCTTCTCCGTCGCTGATGCCGTCCTCCCCGCCGACGCTGTCCCTCTTGTCAACGACGCCCATCTCCTCGTCAATGGCGCCCTCCTCCCCTCTCAGTCTCGCCCTGGCCCTCGATGCCACCGGTACCCACGTCGCCTCGTCAAGACCTTCGCTCTTTTGATGTCGCCCCCTCCCTCAACGCCTATCCCTTGCCCATCCAGCCACGACGTTTCACACTGACGCACCGTGTGTGTCATCAGACGTATCGCTGCACCCCTCGGCTCTGCGTCATCACGCGTGCTGTGGATACGGCCTCCCCGCTGCAAGACCGGTCCGACGACGTGGACCACCTTCCCCCTTTCCCTCCGGCAACCAATCATATTCTTTCCCTCCCCATCATCGATTTAGCTCCGCCACGCGTCAATATATTCGCAGTCCGACTTAATTCCGCGCCTGTTGATTTATCTCCCCTCTTCTACGCGACCCTTCCTCCGCCTGCCTCCCTTCCTCCGCCTCCCTTTCTCTGCCTCCCTCCCGCCCTCTCTCCCTCGTGTATGTCATGAGCAACAAGCTTGGCGGTGTCTCCCAGTCCGTCGACAAGATCGTTGGTCATCGCACTGGAGCGCGTACGAAGGCCGTTCTGATGGGGCAGCAAGCAATGGCTGAGGATGCACGACATCGCCGTCAGCGTCGAGCGGCTAATGCAGCAGGTACGTACTCTATGATATCATTCAATGTTCACTGTCTAATGGCTGCTCAGGGCTCGATGCCGAATCTCTGCATATACTCGCCTCCGCTCCCTCCTTCGACTCTGGCCCCTCTCACTCGCCCATGGATGTTGACAACGACGACGGCTGGGAGTTTCTCCCGGACGAAGGGCATGATGAGCATGCAGCATTCATTGACGCTATCCAGGAGGTAGCGTTGCAACGGTACGATTGGCCCAATCATTCTTGCATTCAATCGGCTAATTCATTATAGTGCTTCCAAGATCAAAGATCATCGCACGTGGTCGGACAGACTGCAACGCGCCCATGAAGCGAGCAAGACCCTCCTCCCCGCTCTCACATCAGCTTTCCTTCGCTACCAATACCCTGACATCTCCCGAGCCCGCGCATCGGACGTAACGACAGACCACGACTCAAGCTCTCGTCCCCACTCTCCCGATCACCGTGAATCAAGCCCCCCTCGCCCCGACGTCTCCCAGGACCATGAATCAAGCCCTCTCCCCTCGGTGACCCAGTATGACTTCACCATGCCCGTGATCAATTTGTACACCCTGCAGACTGAGACGAGAATATCTCGCTCGGAAGACGTCGGTACTGCCCACGAGGCCCTCGTCTTGAACGGTTACGTGGGCACATCCCCCGACTCTCCCAGCCTCGCCGTCTCCATATCGACGCTGGAACTCTACCGGAGGATCCGTCTACGCAAGGCTTCTTTCAGCGTCGAGGCTTTTGCTAAGGTGATATGTGATATGTATCAGGTAAGCTACACTCCTTTACTCGGGGCCTCGGGCGCTCAACTCTTATGTTTTCCAGTGGCCGTATCGTCGTCGTTACCGCACGGCGCTATCCGGTGCTTTCGACATGTATCTGTCCATCCTCCGCGGTGTCGACGTGCAAGTCAAGGAGGCGCTTGGTCGCAACACGGACCGCTGGCGTGCACGTTATTCCTGCCCCCCTTGCGGTTACGAGGTATGTAGCGAGCTCACCCCTTTTTTTAAATTACTGACTTTGCATCAGCTGAACGATGAGCCGGCCCTCGTGTATCGCCGTCTCATGGTTTTCGATGGGAACAATTCCCTCTCCCGCATGACGGCGTTCGGGGATCGCAAGGTGGCGGATACCCGAACCTTCGCAAGCGACTACTTCCTTGACGCCGGCTATGTCGACAAGTTTGCGGATGAGGTCCGCTCTACCCGCGACTCTGATGACGCTGATATTTCGACTGCCGACGTCGGGCCGATCTCCTCGTGCACGGATAGTTGGAAAGCAGCGGCCGCAGACGCGAAGAAGCGAAGCTGGGGCATATTCGAGGAGACGGGGATCTTTGCGAGTGCATGTCGGCACGGCCTCATCATCTACATCATCGACATGCTGCGGAGCGGCGAACTGTATGTGTACTATTAAGTTGTATTCTTCTGTATATCAGTGTAACAATTCATCATTCAGGTTCAAGTATCCTCTCGCAACTGTTTCTAAAGCTCTCGACGTCTTGGGCGGGCGACTCCTTGTAGCATACGACATAGGCTGCAAGCTATCTGGTACCATCCGCCATAGCTCGCTCGCCTCCAGGTTCGTGTCGTCGGGATCACGAATGTGCGTGGACGCGTTCCATGGCTACGCACACGAGTACAGTTGCCAAGACGCGTTCCATCCCACGGGAATCACAGGCGCCGGACTGGATGACTTCGGCGTGATGGAACGCATATTCAGTTGCTCCAACGAGGTGGCTCCCGTCACACGCCACGCCTCGGCATACAATCGCCGTCTTTTCATCGACGTCTTCTTCACGCAATGGGATCAAGATCGCTACCTCAACCTCGGAAATTATCTCTACCGGTCCTATAAGCGCGCTGTCAACATCCTCGCCGACGAGAACGTCGCCCTCGCACACGCAAAATCCAGCCTCCAAGTCTCAGACGAGGATCTACGGACGTGGCGCGCCGAGCAGACTCACTATCTGCGATCTGTCGGTGAAGAAGCGGAGTACGACATCCACGCCGTTGCATATGTTGAGGCTCTCCAGAAGCTCCGTGATAGCCGGTAAGCCGCACTACCATCAATCACACGGTAGACACTAACTAATCTCACTTAGCGCGGAGGCGAGAGCTGCGTCGTCGGCTTTTCTCAACACCGACCCACTCGATATCTCCGCTTTCACATCGAGGAAGGCGTACGAGGACGCCACCTCACGCACTGCAAAACTCGAGACCGCCCGGCGCGTCAAGGAGGAGCGCGACGCCATCGTCACCGAAGAAGTCAACGCTCTTGAAGTCAAACTCGGCATCCGGAAACGCTGGGAACCATCCAACCCGGAGTATATCGCCGCCGCCGCTTACCTCAACAATCGCAAGTATCATCAGGCGCTGAACAACCTTCAGCGCTTGGTTGTCTTGCGCCTCCTCGAGCTACACAAGCAGAACGTGGGGCGAAGCGGTCAGTATCATTTCCCATGTCTGCCCGTATATATTAACATACTAACATGATCTTTCATAGGCTACAAAATGCGAAGGCATATCGCGAAGTCGCTGCAAACCCGGTGCAAGGCCATACAGAACGCGATCAAGACGTATAACACCGCAGCCCACGCGATTGGAAAGCCGGCTTTAGATTGGAGTAAGGTTTCGAATTATTCGTTCTTAGAGGAGTTTACGCTCCTTCGAGAGTCTCGTGACGACATCCGCGCAAAGCGGTGGACGCAACCCGTTATTCGTGAACTAATGAAACAGTCCCTTCGAGTCGAGCGCGCCAAGGAAGAGGTCGTCCGGCTCAACGTCGAGGTTCGCCGCCTCCATACATTCATCGTCGACGAGAAGAAGCAATTTACTCAAGTCCTCGCCGACCTCGAGCGCAAACACGATCCGGTTCACGGCGCGGTGCTCGAGTTCTGCCGCCGCCGCCGACGCGTCAATGCGCGGCTCATGGAGAGGCTTGAAGACGTTTTCGCGCTGGAGGGTTTCAGTGGCTCTAGGGAGCCCGGTGTGAGTGCTAACAATGATGCTATCGTTCTAACACATGATCCCATCCTGTCGACGGAGTTGAGGACTGAGGAAACGAGCGGGGAGGTAGACAAGGCGACGAATGACGATAAGGACGGTGATGATGACGAGGGGTCTGAAGCCGACGACGAGAGGCTTGAGGAGGTTGGGGTCTTAGTCGATTATTACACGAATCTGCAAGGAGAATAATAGCATATGTTTGTTGTTCGTTACTTTCAATATACTTTGCGTACCTCATCATTACCATGGAACGTCCGAATGACTGCTTAGCATTAGAAATTGTGAAAAGTCCATTTGAGAGTGTTGAAATTGATACGATGACATTATTCAGAGATAGTAAAGATTATAGTTCTACGCTATGAATGGCCGACGTAAAAGAAGCTATCGTTAGAAGCACAGACCCATCATAGCATCAACGCACGTTTGATCCACGTTGTTGTGATCCGTGTGGTCTGCAAAGTGGCACGCTGCAGTGGTGGTCAGTTGACCAACCTCAGCTCGCGATTTCGATGCGACTGTTATCACCCGCGCGCTTTCGTTTGCACCACAGACTTGACACCCACCTCTCATTTCTCCTTCTCCGTCCCTCAACCTCACTCCCTTCAAACTCATGGAAGGACCTCCAGCGGAGGTGAAGAAAGAATGCTTTGTCTTCAATGGCCACAAATCCACTCCAATGAAACGGTGAGCCATTATCTACATGACAGTCATCTGGCGGTATACGAATGACGTTCGCAGCCCCTTCATTGCAGCAAGCCGACGTTCTCCTCCCTTCCCGCTCGCGCTATACTACAGGTCCCGTTCGATGATTCACGACATACTGCGTGTCCGTGACGCCATCAAAGATATCCCAACGAAAGGAGACTACATCACCACCGCGAAGGACGTCATCGATGCTCTCAAGAATCTCGATCCCTTCGAGAACCACGAGGACAAATTCCATCCTGTGGTATACGGAGGATACGTTGGAATATACACTCACTGGTGAGTCACTTTAGTGCCTCCTCTCTAAACTATCAACAACGTAGGCTAGGGACGACGCGATCCCTGAGGTCACCGGGAGGGATTGTCGTCGATTCCGAACATCAGAGACGTTCAAAGACGCCCTTGTGTACATGATCACCAAGGGACGATTTGCGACGGTTGTAGACCTTTTTCATCCCGATCCCCCCCCTCAGCCCCCTTCCCCAGCGAGCCCTTCCCCTGCCAACATCCCTCCTTCTCCCGTTCCTTCTCCCGCTCGCGCTCGCGATCCCGTTCCTTCTCGCCCTCATGGTCCCGCTCCTTCACTTCGTGATCTCACTCCCGGCCCGGTTCCCTCAAGCTCGCATCGGACGTCACAACACGAGACATCACCTCGGGAGCGCGTTCGCGTTCAGGTCCCAACTCCCCCATCCCTCCTATTTACCCAACCTCTCCCACCTCCGGAGAACGTAGGTATAGTACCCATGGGTGAGCTCGTCTTTTTGATCTTTTTGTCGCAGTACTGACTCACTATCTACAGATCATTTGGTTACGCTGGTCTCCGAGCACCTTGCTATCAGTGAACGCAGTGCTCGGGGACCTCGTCCTCCGCCATCCGCGTCGAACACGTCCCACTCGTCTCGCACATACTCATCTCGTGACGTTCCCGGCACTCCCGTGTCAATTTCGTCGTCCAGTCGTAGTGCTAGCGAACGCGAGGTCGTTCCTATCAACCCCGAGAGGCGGCGCGTCTACGCTCATGAGCGCACCCTCAGGGGTGTTGTCAGAACCTTGCACTCCCCCGCCGATGTGCGAGAGCACGAGGACGGCCCTCCCTCCCATCTCTTCACCCGTGCAGCCGTCGAGTACATGGAAGCTCAAGGGTTTCTTCCAGCTGCACGGTGGTCGGTGTGGTATGCCTTCCGCCAGGCCAACAGCTGCGGCGAGTTTATCGATTATCTCTCGTCAGAACGGCCCCTCGCCGAGCTCGAAGCTAAGTACCTTTGGGGATTGCTCGGGGGTGGCGGTGCATAGCGGGATATGGACCGACTGCCGCACGCTTACTCGCTAACGACGTATTACCTCAATATTTTTCAATGTCTTCGCTTACGACAATGACATGCTATGACCTTCTGCTGACTTTACAGTGCGACCCTGCTTGCCACTTCGGTGATAAATTTTTACTTCGTTTTTCATTCATTCTTTCTCATTTGACGACACTCACCCACTTCACGAGATGTCCTCTCAAGGTCTCCCTCGCTACCTTCGAACGAAAACTCATACCACCACGCGCCGACGCTTTGCGAAGCCGAACATCCCGAAGACTCCACAGGAACGTGCGGAACTCAAGAAACGACGGCGTGAACGGAAGGCTGAGTACTTAGATGCACTCGCCGAAGCTCAAGACATCGTCTTGGGCGAGGCAACCAAGCTGTATGGCCGGTTTGGTGGCCACAGCATCGATTATTATGTCGAGGCGATCATGCAGAACTCGCGTGTCAAGGGTGGCAAACGGCGAGTTAACCGCTGGAACGCGCACCTGAGCAAGCGGCTGCGACAGTTCAACGACAGTAAGTTCACGTATGTATTATCATCGGATTTTAGACTTACTGACATTCAACAGACGTTCCTGAGGACGGCGAGCACCAAACGGCTTCCGAGTTTGCGAAGCAGCTCAAGGACGAGTGGGCACAACTCTCGGAGGCCGAGCGCATTGAGCTCACGAAGGAGGATTGCGCCGACCTCGAGGAACTCCGCGCCAGCAAGAACGCTGTTCATAGCGTGCCGTTGGCAGCTTGGCGCGACGCCAAGGCCGCTCTCAAACACTGTACTGGCGTTGTAAATCCGTATATTTCTCGTCAAGTCCATTTCTCATTATTTTATTGCTCTAGCTTGGCGACCTCGCGTCTCGAACGAGCGTCAAAATCCTGCTCGTTGCTGTTCGCGACAACACGACACAGCTAATGCGACCCTTCACGTACACGTCCGATGAGTCGGTCGACGAGTTCTTCGATGCCATCACGAACAGTTCGGTTGAAACGTTCGCAACAAGGCTGGAAGCCTGTGCTATCTCCGGGATCAGAGGCGAGTACTAATTTTTGTTTTCATTTTCCTTGGTGCTTATCCCGCGCAGGTTTAGTGAGTAAATACAGGCGAGAAGTAGTCGACACGAAGAAGGAGCTCGTAACTACTATCAACACCAAACTATGTGCGTCCATCGACTTGTCCCCTTTTTTGTTTTATGTTGATTCATACTGACTAATGGCAGACGAGGCTACTAAAGTCAAGTTCAGCCGAACACCTTACTCCCAGTTCGATAAAGCCGTGACGGAGAAATACGGGATCGTCGTAGACGGCTTGCCGCCAGGCTACTCGTTCCAGAACCCGTCGGGAATCTCCTCCTCAGTCGAAGTTCTGACCCTCCTCGGGCTCTGGAATTCAGGTGTTGTGAGCTTCCGTGAAATGTCGCGGCAGGAGTGGGAGAGTTGGCGGGAAAAGCGGTTCCAGGAGGCCATGAGCCAGATGGAAACAGGTGCGAGCTATCACCTCCTTGCTTTTACTTTTCTCTTACGCATTTCATTACTATAGACGAAGGTCAGTCGCCATCTACTCCACCAGACGACTCTGCGGTCGCTCCGACTACGTCCGCGGCTATCGCTCCGCAGTCCCAAACCTCTCCCGCAGCCTCCGCTTTACCGCCAATCAATACACCGGTTCCTACACCGGTTCCGACGCCGACGGACTCTGCAGCGAACTCCCTGCCTGCACCAATGAACGCCCCTGCCCCTCACGTTCAACCTGTCCCCGGCGTATCCTTTCAGTTTGTCAATAGCTTCGCCGGTCCCGACGGCCATCAGCGCGCAAGTGGGAGAGGAAGGAAGAGGAAAGCGGGTTGTTGAATCTTTGATACTTAGTCATTATTTTTACCTTAGCATGCAATCATAATCTCATTGGTGGACTTTACTTTCACGATTAAATGATGACAGCAACCAAGCATCAATTGACTCCGTGTTTAAATACTAACATGTCTACCGATATAACGTGTCTCCGTCCATCACGGGTTGCCCACATCCATAGCCCCGACTAGCCGACACTAACTGAATTGAAAGAAAAAGTTTGCCGAAGTACCCACCAACAATTCTATACTACAGACTACCAGCAGCGTATACAATACTAACCGTATGAGCGAAGAGCTCAGTCCAAGCATGAGGCATTCGTAAGTCTACACCATGTAGACTGTAGATGTGTTCAGTGAGAGAAGTAAGAGACGACATGGGGGCGGGAACTTACAGCGGATGCCGTGTCATACTTCGGATCCGGCCCGGATCCACAGGGACAGACGCCGCAGAGCGGCGACATCGCGGATATCACGGGAGAACGTTACTGCGGCCGGAAAGAAGGCAGCGGTGCAAGTGGCCCGATCACCGGACGGCAGGTAGGGGAACAAGTGCGGCGCAATCGTGAAAGTGCGCTGGGGCACGGGGAGCTCAGGGGCGCACAGGAGATTACGAGAGCCGTGGTGTTGACGTGAAGGGACTGAGTGAAGAAACGCCGTATACAACTGTATTGAAGGAAGTGGGTGATGTCAGAACGCAAGTCACAGGTGGTGTATGTGTCACGTACAACGAATGAATACCAAGAAGACAGAGATACCAAGTGAAGGTCGCGTTGCCAGAGAGATGGCTGGCGAGCGCGTACTGTTGAAGATGGTGAATGTTGATGGGAAGAGCGTTGAGGGGACAGACATCGTCGAAAGCCAGTAGGGTGCTATCGAAAGCGAACACAGTTGAAGGGTGCTGTCGAGAGAAGGTGGGTGCTGTCGAGAGAGAGTGGGCGCTGTCGAGAGAGTGGGTGCTGTCGAGAAGAGGGCGTTGGTATGAAGGGGGTGCTGTTGCGAGAGAGGGGAGGCCTTACCGACGTTAAATGGGGGGCGGCATCGAAGGAGAGGTCCTCGTCGATGAGGGGATGGGCGTCGTTGACAAGAGGGACGGCGTCGGCGGGGAGGACGGCATCAGCGACGGAGAAGGGGCGGGAGGAGGGAGAGAAGGTAGGGGGCGGGAGGAGGGAGAGAAGGTAGGGGGCGGGAAGAAAGAGAGAAACGGGAGAGGTCGGCTCCGTAGCGAGTCGGAGCGGAGTTTGTAAAATTTCACTGGGGTGGCAAATCCCACGTGTGACAAAAGGGCGGGGGAATTGGCGGGGGCGGGAGGAGCGCGGGGCGTGAGATCAGACCGGAGGGAACCGAGCGTTGAGCCGAGATGCCGGTGGAATGTTCGGGACTTGGGAATGATCAGGACAACGTGCCTGGCGGCAACGAGAAGCTCCAGAAATAGTATTATAC